CTAAAGTGAAAGTGGTTTTTTACATCTTTAGAAGACGTCTCGCCTCTATATTTCGCGTCGGCGCACTAGAATTCGGTTCCCCAGCTGTCGCTACTCAACGGTTAATATACTTTGCTATAACCCCTATTTAGAACATAAACAGAGGTTATGATGTTATGCACTCGACTGTTGAGAATCTCAGGACTAGGTCGTACTCGTTTCTTTAAATGGAGTCACTAGGAAGTGCCTAGAAGTCACCTGCGGGCGCCAGTGATTTGTTTTAGCAAATATTCAATGAAAGTGACTTTGGAGCTAGAGTAAATCACAACCCCTAACTCCCGCAAATAAATACTAAATAATAAGATCTCGTTAAATAAATAATAGGTTGTTTAATAATTGATAATTTGCCAAATAAGGATACTTATATAAAATGATTTGTTAAATATTGAAATAGTCTAATAATTTACTAGATATGAGTATTTATGAGAAATAGGTTGTTTAATAATTGATAATTTGCCAAATAAGGATACTTATATAAAATTATTTGTTAAATAAATAATGAAATAGTCTAATACTTTACTAGATATGAGTACTTATGAGAAATAATCAGAAAATTGTGAACAACAAAATAAATCAATTGAATTTACAGTGAATCTGTCATAAAAAAATAAAAGCTTATCTGATTTGGTTTTGGTGTTGTTGGGTACTGCTGCGTTGCTTTTCTGATGGGTGTACTTCGTTCTTAGCAGAGATTTTTATTCCAGAACCTTGTGTTTCTCTATACTAATGCCACATGAGGAAATCCGGAATCCATTGAACTGGTTGATTCTAGCAAGGAATCATTTATCGTCTTGACATTCTATACAGCTAGCAAGTTAAGATCTTCTTAAAAAAACATACGGCTTCTGTAGGGCTTTCGTAAGGCTCCTGGAAGATATGACTTTCGGTATGCCGTAAGACGTACGGTGTACGGCCTAAGACGTACGGCGTACGGGCCAGGAATTATTCCCAGCCTTAATTCTAGTTATCAAAAAGATAATAACGACATGCGTCTTTCTGATGGCAAAATTCAGAGCGCAAAGACAGAACGCTTTCAACGGGTTCGTCTCGCCTTTGGTGTCTTGCGCATAACGATACTATGAATACAAATCGATATGCCAAAAACACGACAAGAAAACTTTTAATTCATTAATTTGACTTTGCTATTTCCCGTTAGATGGAACTACTTGTACAATAATTGAATTTTATTTTGAAATTAATAATATGGACATGTTACAGGGTATTTTCGCCAGTACGATAACTCTAAAAGGAAAGGGTCGATGGATTTACTGTATAATGTATTAAAACCGAGAAGCCTATTGATTTTGAGCATTTTTGGTTTAACTTTAGTGCGTCAAAGGGAAAAATCTGGACGAAAAAAAAGTCTGGCTTCTTTTCAATCGAGCTAAAGAATTAGGCTATCTAGACAAATGCCACAAGTTCCTAACTAAGTACAACAAGGCTATCAGCAAAGCCACATTGAAATCGTGGAAAAAGTTGTCAGATTTACCTGCAAGCAACAAACTTCACAAAATGATCAGATCGATAAAAAGACCCGATGGCACCTATAGGGTAAGAAAACATTAGGGATTATTTTACAGAAACACTTCTTAGGCAGTCGTATTCTGAAGGACAGGTAACCCGCACCCCTTCCTTCTAATAAATCAACCTCACGACCCAAGAAGGACTGGAACTACGTTGCATAAGTTGTCTTCCAAGCGTCGTGAAATGGGCGACAAATTCTTTTTCCTTATTTAGGGGAGAGAACGAAGAGGTGATCTCCAATATCCTTCACCATGCCCTAAATACAATCAACAGATGATGCGAGAGGAAGCGGATCTATGTTAACACCGGAAAACTGTTATTAAAACATTTACCAAGAGTAGGAAGCTCGATAAATATCGAAAACCAATCTTGACTGGATGAACCATTCCTTTTGCGAAGCAGGTGAAATATCTAGGGATTATCCTAGATAAGAAAAGTTTATGGTGTTGTGAGTTGCAAAACTAGTAGTATGTAGTTAGATTTAGTAGTTATGTATGCTTGGTTGCATATACTGTTCGGCCCCGTTGTCGTAGCAGCCAAATAGTAAACTGGTACGTAATAAAGCACCCATTAATTATTATTAGTTTTATTACATTCAACAACAGTTGTAATCATAATATCTGGAACCCTCAATTGAAAAACACCATCAACAAATACATAATATTCTTCTAGACCAGCCATACTCAACCTGTGGCCGGCGGGCCGCATGCGGCTCTCCAAGTTTTTTTTGTGGCCCGCAACACTATTATTGGTCGCAGCGCTAAATGGCATGCTAATTTTTAAATAAACGTTTGGAATTTTGTGGGATTACTGCAAAAACAAGATAGCTCCACTTTTGGAATTTTCGAGTTAAGTAGGTACACTTTCTAGAAGTGTGAAAGAAGTCTATATTCATGATAAACAGATAGCCAATAAAAACTAACTCCATTTTAATACATTAACAATATGGACAAATAAGATGGAGTGGCATTTATACCAAAATATAATCATAACATTGTGTTCAATTGGTAAATGTGTCTACCAAAACCAGATAGTAGGCATATAACTTATTGTTGCTAAATATATTTAGTTCGATTGTTAATAGTGTTCTGGCCAAAACAACATAAAAGCCAGAACCAAGGGGAAACCAATAGAGTCAAAACATACCTGTATTTCGGAAATCACTTAAAAAATGTTTATACAATTTAGGTGATTTTACAGTATTTCGGGAGTAGTTTGCCGCTACTTATTTTTGTTGAATGTGTTTGTTAAAATATAACATTGTGCCCACGCCATTTGTTTTGTTATGACTAGAACCGTTTCTGGCCTTTCTCGATTGTTCCGAAATTCACGAGATGATTACGTCACCCTTTCTTTCCGCGATACAGCTAACCTTAAACAACCACCAGATAATAACACGTGATGTTCGAATCTCCGTGGTGAACGAGTGATTGGTCAAGCTGTAACGAGTGATTCGTCAAGCTGTAACGAGTGATTCGTCAAGCTGTAACGAGTGATTCGTCAAGCTGTAACGAGTGATTCGTCAAGCCGTAACGAGCGAATCTTTATGTGAAAATTCGTGAATAAAAGTATTAGTGGTAACAGGCGAATATGAATTTTAACCATACTTTCTAATAGACAACGTATCGAAAGATTCGGCTATCCTAAATACATTCCACCAAAAAAATAGATTTAATTTAACAATGGGCGAGGGTGGGGAATTCGGCTTTATATGCCAAACTCGCACAGTATTAATTCAGAGGGATGCATGAAAGGATGAAACAAAGTTTTGAAAATACTTACAAAAAAGTGCAAGAAGAAAGATTTACTAAAATTTTGCAAAATCAGATACACCTGATGAATTTCACCATTATTACCACAATCTACCTGTATTCAATAATGTTACTGAAACTTCGACTGAAGATAGTGACATATACATTGAATTATGTTTTATATGTAGGGCTAAAATAAGCTAAGTGACGTTTTTTCTTTCTCTTTTTACCAATTATTGATAGATTATTAGTTTATACTTTGTGAACAATGTTTTCAATACCTTCTTCATTGAAGTTAATAAACGGTTTGAAGCTTTTACTGATTTTTTATTCACTTTTAAACGTTTGAATAGTGTTTTATCGAAACTCTAAAAATGTGAGTTATCTTGTTTTTGCAGTAACACAACGGGATATAAAGTCAACTTCCTAGATAAGAAAATGGTTATTATTTGATTCGTAGTATCTCCAGTTAACGGATATTACATTATTAATGAAACTACCTGTATAGTTATCTAATATCATGTGGAAGAGCAATATGTATCTAACACACTGTACACGCAATTTCATCAATTCCTGTTATAGAAAAAAGAACAACGAGAAATTATTAAATTCATAATTTAAGAAATTTATTCTAATTTCATCAAAGTTCAACTGAATATAAAAATGTACTAGAGTGAAAAACTAATATTTCTCCTGAAATATTCCACGATATAAAGTGTCCACTTTTCGCCCTAAAGGCCTTATTTTCTTCTAATTAAAATAATCCAGTTTCCATAAATATTCATCAGAGACGCAAAAGCAAAGCAGTAGCATCCTTTACTCACAAAGTAGTTATTTTCATATTTTGAAAACTTCACAAGTTGTTTAATAAGTAGGTAGCTGGAAGAAATGTTTAATTTGTCTGTTTGTGAAGCATAAACTTAAGAAGGAAAATATTCGCAGAAAAGCATAATTCTCGAGCTGTTCCAATTTGCCCCAAGGTATGTGTAGGCAACCGACTCTCATATATTAAGAAAAGATAAGCAGACTTTTAAAATTGAAAATAAGAGCATTGAGAGACGCATATATTAAAAATTTATATTTACATTTTATTAAAAATAGTTTTTCAAAAGCACCAGAACCAGACGATATCTGTATACAGGTGCGGTAAATAAATCTAGGGAGCTAACAACTTAAATATGGGCTATTATATTTCGATATACTCGTCCAATTAGAATACACTGTTGTGCTTTGTCGAGGCAAGTTATTTTTCGAGCGTTTATATTTGGTACGCAGAATAAAAATACCTAATAAAAAGAGAGTTTATAGTAGTGATAGTGATGGTGAACTAGACAAAAAAAGGAGAAAGTTGCGGAAGAAGTTAGAGAATTTGGAACGAAAGAGGCGTCATAAACACAAAATTTTAAGTAAGCATTAATGGTTCCAAACGAGTTTGGGTAATTCCACTAAATATAAATATATTATTTTTTCTTTATTTTTTCTTTGTTTATGTAAATAGTTCCAAACATGTGTTTGGGTAATGCCAGATTGGTTCTGAACTATAATGTCAGGTAATTCCAAATGTTAGCACGCCTATAAATGGTTCTGAGAGAGTAAATATAATTTATTTTTGCTTTTTCGGGTAATTCCATCTAGATTACAAGTCGTAAAGCTTTAAAATATACCTAATATGGTGAACATTTTCAGGCGATTCCAGTACGAATTCTGGATCAAGTTCTTCAGGAACTTCTGAAAATGAAAACCCAGAATCAATTATAACTAATGCTGGAGAAGTTAATCGGGAGATAAATCTTCAAGATGAACCCAAAGTACCAGAGCAGGACCCCGAAATTTTAAGTCTGTTAGGGAAGGAACCATCTGGAAGCGATTGAATATTTGGAAGCGAAGTACATCAGGCTCTCGCGGATCGTTGGAGCAAGTATGTTAGTTTAGGAGTCGAGAAGAGTAAAATAGAGGCAATGGAAAAGACATATCTTATTCCTAAGAATATTCCTTGGTTGAAGACTCCTATTTTAAATCCCGAGTTGGAATCTTCTTTGACAGATCAGGGTAAAAAAGAAGATAAATATTCTTCTATTATTCAGGGGCATTTAGGCCTAGCTCTTTCGGCATTATCAAAATGCATTGATACTATTTTGAAAAATGAAGACTGTCCTATTGAACATGTTAGAAATCTGCTGTTGCCATGTATTGTATTGTATTAATATGATTTCGACAAGTAGAAAGTATCATGTTGGAGCCAATTTGAATTCCACGGTAAAGAAAATCGTCAAGGAAAGCAAACCAGATGAGTTCTTGTGTGGAAAAAATTTTGCAGAGAAATTTAGAGAAGTTAAAACCCAAATGAAAACCGGCAAAGAAATGAAAAATTTCTTTTCGATACCTAGAAAACTTCCTCAAGCATCTATGAGCTCCACTGTTCAAAGAAGGTCGTCTTTAAACTATCAGCGCAGGTATGCCAAGGAAAGGAAAAAGGAGGGGCCGGTGGAGAGACCACAGAAGAGACAACGAGAGTACAGACATTCGTACAATCCTTACAACAAACACAACAACACGAAATAGAGGTATGTTCTGACATTTACGGTGGCCGGTTGAAATTCTTTTTTCAATGCTTGGCAGCTTTTAACAAAAGACGAAAAAATAAGGTCTTGGGTTAAAGGTTATAAAATACCTTCTATTAAAAATCCTTGTCAATATAGGTACGTCAATAAGAAACTACTAGAAGGTGAAATAAAACAGATGACGTCTATTATATCAGATTTACTTAAAAAAGGCATTATAAGTAATTGTATCAGATCGAAAACACATTTTTTTTCCTCATTTTTCTTAGTTCCCAAATCTGATGGAACTTGTAGGTTTATTCTTAATCTAAAAGGTCTAAATAGATTTATATCCCCTCCTCATTTTCAATTAGACAATTATAAATCAGTTAAAGATTTAATTACAAAGAAATGTTATATGGCTACAATCGACCTGAAAGATGCCTATTATATGGTACCCATATATAAAAAACATAGACAATTTCTCAGTTTTAAATTAAATAATCAAGTATATCAATTTAATTGTTTACCCATGGGTTTAGCTACTGCACCGTATGTGTTTACCAAGCTTCTTAAACCCGTATTTAATTTTTTTAGAAGGCAGGGTATTTTATGCCTTATTTATTAAGATGATATTTTAATTTTAGGTAGTTCGTATACAGAGGTCAAACATAATGTTACTATTGTTTTAAAAACGTTACAGGAATTAGGATTAAAAATTTATTTTTGAACTACAGGTTCACGTTAATATTTTTCTCTCTTGCTTTTAAATATGTTTATTTTCAATAGTAGTATTTCGGTACATCTTCGTTTCTTGAATATCTCTGGGTTATTTATTCTTTCTTTTTCTTTGTTTACGTTATTTTTTTTATTTATAAAGTAAGTTGGTATGGCAAATTAAAAAATAGCATGTATTAATATTAATTCTCTAGCAGCGAAAATTGTAGAACTGAGAGAGCATATAGAAATACAAAAATATGACATAATTTGTGTAACTGAGACCAAGCTCAATGAAAATATACTGGACAATGCCGTCTTAATAAACAATTTCAATTTATTCAGACGAGACAGGCTAAGTGATACAGTTGGGGGTGGAGTAGCTGTTTATATTAATTCCTCTTGGCAGGTATCGGAGATTGAAGAGTTTTTTGATGATAACATTTGTTATGAACAATTGTGATTAAAATTTATTATCGATAAAAAGTCCTATGTCATTGGCGTCATTTATCGTCAACCTAAACAGCCGCTCTTAGAATTTATTAGAGATTATGAAAATGTTATGATGAATGTTTTAGCTTCACATGAAAATATAATATGTACAGGTGATTTTAACATTGATTTGTTGAGCGACACGGCTGCTTCTCGACATTTAAATAATTTGTTAGAAAGCTTTGGACTAACTCAATATGTGACTCAACCGACACGCATTTCTAAAACGTCTGCAACGCTACTAGACTTAGTAATATGCACTGACAGCATAAACGTTTGTGATTGTGACGTACTGCACGATGAAATAAAAAGTGATCACAGTCTGGTTAAAACGAATATTCTTATTGATTCTAAAACCGAAATAGTTAACAAGATTAGGTACCGTAACTTTAAAAAAATTGATAAAATGTTATTCGAAACTGAGCTAGGCAGGCTTCCGTTTGAAAATATCCTGCTCACTAATAATATTGACTCTAAAGTAAGTATACTCACAACACTTATTTTGCAAATATTTGACACTTTCGCCCCAATTCACTCGGTGGTTCTGAATAAGCAGTCCAAGCCGTGGATAACGGATAATATAAAATTTCTCTTCAAGTTGCGCGATAATGCTCTGAGACGTTTTAAGCGGACTAAGAGAGAAGCACATTGGGACTATTACAAACTTTTACGAAACTTTACAAATAGAGCTGTTAACAATGAAAAAAAAAGCGTATCTGCGATACAAACTCTCTAATAAAACTTCACCTAAATTGTTACATAAAGAATTAAAAAAATTAAATGTTTATTGTCGAAAAAGTAACAGTAATATTCCTGATGAGTTAAGCGATGTAGAAATGTTGAATGATTTTTTCATTAAATCGACTAAATCTCAACATTCTCCGAATTTAAATATTTTAAACAAACTTATTAACTCTAAAAAAGAAGTTAGCCTTTTTTCTTTCAAGGAAGTAAATGATAATGTTGTATACAGTAGATTGTTAAGTATAAAGTCCAATGCAATTGGAGCTGATGAAGTTGGTCTAGATATGCTCCTGTATTGTTGTCCCTATATCATAAAATATCTTACTCACATTATCAATACGTCAATCAATAGTGCCACTTTTCCATATCAATGGAAAGCTGTCCACGTACTACCTTTGAGTAAAGTTAAAAACCCTACTCAATATAAAGATATACGCCCAATTAGTATCCTGTGCACCGCAGCTAAAATATATGAAAAAATCTTATATGAACAAATACAAAGTCATTTAGATGATAATCAAATAATACCATCAAATCAGTCCGGCTTTAGACGCAACTATAGTTGCAATACGACACTACTGTCAATAACTGATGATATTATTGCGGCAAGTGATAATAACCTTCTTACTATTCTAGTACTTCTTGATTACAGTAAAGCCTTTGATAGAATTAATCATCAGCTGTTGCTAGGAGTCTTGCATTTCATTGGTTTTAGCGATACAGCTTTGAATTTAGTACGTAACTACCTAAGTGATAGGTTTCAAAGAGTTAAATTACATAATCGTTTATCTTCTCCAAAAAATATAACAAACGGTGTTCCACAGGGTTCTATTCTCGGGCCTCTATTCTTCTGTATTTATACTTGTTTATTTCAAGATTGCCTTCAGCATTGCCGCTCACATTTTTATGCCGACGATACACAGTTATATATATATCCTTTCCCCCTAAAGATTTTCATAATAACATTAAAAATATAACTAGGGATTTAACGGCACTTTTTCAATTATCTAATGACTACTGCCTTGATATAAATTCTTCTAAATCAAAAACCCTGCTGTTTGGTCGAAAGCACTGTCGACTTCAATATAAGGATCAATTTAGGATTATAGTAAATAATGAAACTTTACCTACTTCGGAAATATCAAAAAAACTTGGGCTTATTTTTAGATACGGATCTCCGGTTTGTAAAACACGTAAATCAGAATTTAAAAAAATGTATGACTAACATAAAAATGATATATGCAAATAAATACATCTTAACTCATCAAGCTAAACGTACGTTGTGCGAATCACTAGTATTTTCACATATGCATTATTGCGATTCGGTATATGGCCCTTGTGTAACACGATATGATAGTCAACGTCTTCAACGCATGCAAAATATTTGTATTAGATTAGTGTATAATTTAAAAAAAAGGCAGAGTGTCAGCTAAGCGATTTGAATTGTCTTGGCTATCTGTTCAGGAAGCGCGTTTTTTACACACCTGTTGTCTCTATCGAAAAATTGTCAATCTTAAAACTCCCCCCTACTTGTATAACAAAATAAGATTCAGGAGCGATGTACACAATATTAATATTCGCAGAAAGGATGATATCTCCATTCCTCGACATTCCACTGCTATGTTCAAAAGTTCATTTTCATATTTAATAGGCCGTATCTTGAATCTTATACCAACAGAGTTTAAAAAATTAAGTCATGTAACTTTTAAAAATAAGTTGAAATTTTTGTTACTTCGGGGACAGCTTTTGATCGATTTTAAAATATAAATATTAATTTGTGATTATTTGATTGATCTTTGTATATTTTTATATTTATTGCTTGAAGCAACGTTCACTAATTTTCATTGAGCTTCGTCTACTAGACTAGGTAGGTATTTATGATGTCTTTGTTATTAATTACAATTTTCATTTTTTTATGTGTATCCATTATGTATTTATATATGTACTACATTTAAGGGGTATTTATATTTAAACTATTAATTTTGACTGGGCGTATTGAAAACCATTTTAGTCTGTCTTCTGATATGCTACGATGAATACGATTCCTTTTCAGTATAGTAGATAATCCTTGTATTTTTGTTAAAACTTCTTGTGTTTCACTATTTTATGTATATGGATTCTGCTTCCTGAATAAATATTATTATTATTATTATTATTATTATTATTATTATTATTATTATTATTATTATTATTATAGGATTTATTATAAATTGGAAAAAATCTCAGTTAATACCTTCACAAATTTGCGAGTATTTAGGATTCATTTATAACAGTTGTAATATGACCATGTATATATCAGACGATAAAAAAGAAACCATAATAAAAAAGATAAATACATTTTGTAAAAAAGTGAATTGTAAAATTAGAGAATTTTCAAG